TCCTGTATATATATATCCGTTCGATGAGACTATGGCGATAAAGGGTGCATATCGCAGGAAATTTTGAACTTTGAACGGTATTACGGTGACGGTATATCCTTTCGATTAGTCCTTGGTTTATGATAATCAAAGTGTTACAAATTGTCACCCATACGTTTCGCAATATCTGTTCGATTAGACGCTGACGTTATATATATCCGTTCGATGAGACTATGGCGATAAAGTGGTGCATATCGCAGGAAAGTTTCCGATTTGAACGGTATAAATACAGCGTTAAACGTACGAGACCTGTCAAAGTCATACAGAATCTCAAAGCGTGTACTGTGTGCGGTTTCAAGTTGTAAAAGTATCGAGGCGTCGTCTGTTCACACACACACAATGGAGCAACTACATGACCTAATGGTCCTGACGGATGCTATCAACACCACTGTGACGGAGTTCGCCGAAAGCGTTGAAACTCTATCAGGAATGGTGCGTGAGATATATAAGGATCTGGAACGTTTAGAAAACACCATGCCTAAGTTCGTGACATTAGAGCATACGGGTGCACGACAAGATGTTCGCAACATTGTAAGTATACATCGTTTCGTGTAATTATACAGTTTAATTATGTACCATATTCGTGACAAAGTGTTTCCGTTTGGTTTCAGAAAACAAATATTTGCCTTCGTCAAGGAAATGAGTATGCCTTTGAACGACTATGTACTAACATTAACTGAAGTGCGTGGAGATATGCAGGAAACAAGATCGAAGAAGGTAAAGCCAGGTGGATCTTCGTAAGTAAGAAATGTTTTTTTATTTTCAACACTGTATGTAACAGAGTTGTGAGAAATATGTACGTTTGTTTTCAGATGAAAGAGATGACCGTACTCATGAATGATATACATATAAATACAAAGAAATATAATATATCAATCGCAATAAATCTATAACTCTAAATAAATATATAAATCTAAAGAAATATATAACTATAAATACATATAAATATGAATAAGATATACAATATCTGATGTACACAGTATGGAGCGAGATCGACTGCTACATAAAGCTAACTGTTGCATTGAAAAGATTAGGAGATAATGACTTATACACTGAAACATATAATTGATTATATGCTTCTATGTATAAGGCAGTATCTCCTAATCCTTTGAAAGCAACATTTAGCTTCATGTAGTAGTCGATATCGCTTCATGCTGCTGCTGCTGCTGCTGCTGCTGCTGGCTACTGCTACTGCTACTGCTACTGCTACTGCTACTGCTACTGCTACTGCTACTACTACCTGTCATATCAAATGTAACCGTATAAGCATATAAAATACAAAATGACACGAATGTATTCTTTTAATATATGTAAGAAATGTGTCCTATCTGTATAAGCGACGCAGAGTGTACATCTATAATAAATAACATGAAAAGTATACGACTGTATTCCTGTACTATAAGTGTATGCCCTATATATAAAAATAAACCTCATCATCTGTATAAGCGATGCGAATTGTTAAATAAAAATGAGAGAAAAGTATACGACTGTATTCCTTTACTATAAGTGTATGCCTTATGTAAAAAATAAACCTCATCTGTATAAGCGATGCGAATTGTTAAATAACATGAGATAAAAGTATACGAGGTATATATGAGAGTTCTAGACCGCTTTGTGGGAGGGGATATGGGGGATATGCATATTCGCAATCGCAAGCGGAAGCTTCGCGATACGCGTGAGGCGTGCGATCAGCAAGAGTGTGTGTGCGTAACAAGTAACACCCGAAGTGATGAGCAACATTGGAATGGGAAGAGGAAAGATTTGCAATAAATAAAAATGTGACTAATGGTACAAGTATACATATATTTTGCAATCGGTTAAACATGTATGTAAAGGTGTAAGTATAATGTAGATCGTCCACCACCACCACCACATATGATAGTTAAAGCAGCAAATCGAGAGCAGCTGTTCGCTGAATCCACCAATCGCGCAATTTGAATACGTTTGACATTGCGCAATGATTGACGTGACGTCTGCATCGCAACGAATCAACCGCGGTCAAATTCTGTAAACGGTCGATGTCCTCAAAATCCACGTCTATGGACTTGACATTGCGAATGGGGCTGCCAAGTAAATCCTTGAGCCAATTCATCTTCTCAAGTCCTTTCACATAGATCGTTGCATTGTTTTCCAACCCTTCACATATGGTTCGCCGTATGATGTCCTTGACGCGGATGTATGGAATGTCTCCATCACGCCATTGTAGTCCGTTATGGTTAGCAGTTAACCAACACACTTGAGATTGTTCGGATCTTGTCAAAAGATCCCAGGCCATCGGTGCGTTGAAGACGTAATGTGTCAATACATGTTCGTCCCGCAGCACAGCCACCTCCTTCACTACAAACTTCCCGCGAACGATGAAGCCTTGTAGATCGACGAAGACTGGAACGGTGGACATGTTGAGGAGTGATCCGGAAGACTTTATGCTACACAATCTTGCGTACGACGTTCGTCAACGGGCTGTACTGAATGACTTTATCATGAATGATAAGACAATACGCTGTGGTGTCGGATGGAACGTTATCCTTGCATTCAAACTCTACGCGAATGTCCACAGTGGCGCTCTTCACAGCCTCGTTCTGACGAGAGCAATCAATCACTACGAATGGGCCGGACGTTATGAATGATTGTACATTTAGATACGCATCATCGAGCTTTCGTCCATAGTACGATCTCTGAAATTTTGCATGCATGTCGCACAGTATAGCAAACTTATTATTATCTATATCCAGATTCATATCATCATAGGGATAGAAATCTGAATTCAAATACAGTTTTACGTTGGTGAGCTTGCAATGATCGAAAGTCGAAGAGTCGCTTGTCAACACGTTTCTTCGTCCAGTCTGTAGCGCAAAGATAACGTATCGCGGTTTCTCTAGTTGCGCCGTGATTTTTACAGCCCACGAGTGCTTGGTCGTGCTCTGCAGTAAAGGAAATTCATACAGATTCCACGAGCGAAATACAACGCTTAAAAATCGTCCGCTCTCCAGTGTTCGCAAAAGCGACAATTTGTTAACGTCGTTCAACACAATGTGCGGCATTCGCCATTGCACCCTCGAAAGAACGATTTTAGGATTCTTAGCACTCGCTGTCGCTACGATGCAATTGTTATCGTTGCGCGCGCGTATCAAAATAAGTTCGTGTCGAGCGTTCACCACCACGCGTTTGTAATCCTCGCAAAAGCCTAATAATATTCTCATGGGGACGCACAGGCTGAAAGAACCGCTATCGGAAACGTTTGGCTCACCCCATCCAGCGTTCTGCAATATATCGAGCTCGTTGGAGGTCAACGAAATGTAATTCTTAATCGTGCTGGTTATTCCAACGTTACGATTTCTATCGATCTCTACGCCATTGAGCTCGTAACGTATCTCCTCGAACATGAAGGCGACGCAGTTGCTCGCATGTTTCGACGTCTGATTCGTCGTCGTCGATGCCTTATCGGACAATTTTCCCTCCACGTATAGAGCGCTTTCGCACGGTAAAGTGTACAGATCCTGCTGTTGTATGGGTATTCGTACTTCATCGCTGTATCCGAACGTTGCATTGGCGTAGGGGTTGTGTTTGAGATTCCTCCAGCTATCTCAGTTGTACTGCCCTCGCCATCTCACGGTTATTCGCAAGGCCCAGTGGTACCGCGCGCGCGACCGCGCGACCGGGTAAGGAGCACGTGACGGGCCCGTGAACATGGCTCGAGGGCTTGCGCGCAAGCTCAGAGAGCTCGGTAGTCGTGTGAAAGCAGCTGTCGTAAGCTGTGGTAAAGTTCGCATCGGCATACAAAAGTATCGTGCTCGCGCTCAAGTGCTATCTCAGTGCTAGCTCACATTGACAATCAGTGCTCACCCCGGGACAGACTCATTAGTTACGTGCTCAAATCGAGTGCATCGGTGTTCTGCGCAAAGGCCTCTCATTCTGTACGTGCACGCTCGCTTGTAGCCGGCCACCGGCTCAACGGGCGGCATATCCCCGACGGTCTTGTGCGAACAAGAGAGCTCGACGGACTCGCTCACCTCAATCATACGCCTCAGTAATTCTCAACTGTACATAGTGTAAATACGATTAAACGTTCAACTCATTTAAAGAAACGGAATCGTAGTCATTCTCGCCACGTTGCACGTCCTTTCTCACCCCCCGATCTACTCGCAGCGCTCACGGAGATTTCGCGATCTTTCGATCTCATGACGAGATTCGACAGTGAGGCAATTTCTCAAACAGGTTGTATGTGTGAGTTTCAAATCTTGACGATGCGCTCGTCGAAAATCGGCTCATCTCCGATACTCAGGATGTCGACCACCATAATTCTTGTTCCTCACAATGAATCCGAGCGATCGCAGAAACGCGACGTTCGCAGCGCTCAACAGATTTCCGTTCTCTCGTCCTCCTCCTCCTCCTCTTCCTCCTCCTTTTCTTTCAACGTAGGGAAAAGACGCGTTTTCTTTTTTGATGCATGAATCATTAACAATGAGCATGGTATAACGTGTGTAGCATATCTCACGCTACACGTTTTCTCACGTGCAATCGTATCGTTATCTCTTCCACGCGAAAATCAATCGGGTGACCGTTTTGATCCACCACTCGCAATGTTATATCGGTGTTATATCGGTGATGCTCCTCACGATGACCGGTAGGTAAATGATCTGCGTCGGCGTTTCCGACACCTTATATCCCGGTGGAACACTCGGCACGAACTCGTGTATCGTATGTACTGGTTTGTCGTTGTTGTACGTCCCCGCGGTAATGTTGCATTCCACACGTATGACGTTGACACTCATGATATTAATTGGTTTGTCAGACACGTACCATTTGTTTGGTTCCAATACACGTGTTGCTGAGAAACTTAATACGGAGCCAATATTGTTTGGTTTTGAGAAATCTACTCTGTACATACATTTTATCTCAGTCCTCATAGTATTTTCATTGGCGCGAAGAACAATGTTATATTGGTTTTCCTTCTCCTCGTCATCATCATACTCATCGTTGTCGTACACACGATACTCGTTGAGGAAGACATCGTCATCCTTTGACTTTTCCAACCGTCTGTTGAGAAGCGCAGCTTTGAGATATCTTTCGATGGCACGCAACTCGTACGACCCTTCGGGAATGACGATCTTTTCGTCGTTCTCCCCAAAGTAAAATGTATCGTTCGTTGAATTAACGTTCGGTATCGTGTTGTAGGTCTCAAAATTTGCAAGACCCAACTCGTATTCACCGTCACTGAGATCGAGAGCGAGAAAACAGCTCGCGACGAGAACACCGCTCGTTCCCGTCAGCGTGAGCGTCAGCGACATTATGGTCGAGTCGACTGAAGTGTATCTCGAGTGCGCTGGTTTTTTATCTAGGACGCGTCCAATCGAATTCGTAAAGAAACCGCAAACACAATTGACCGCAGAAAGTCTGATTGAATGTTTGATACGATTGATGATTGTACGTTACGTTGGCGTCCCCTAGATAGCGCGTGAGTTCTCGCGGAGGTTGAAGATTTCCAAAACTGTCAAAGTATACAACACTGTTCACCTTTTTCGCATAGGCAACCCAATGTATACCCGGACCCACCTTGTCGTCGAGATTTACGATGCCACACTCCTGATGTCGCGCTTTTACGGGTAAATCGTCACGCATGAACACCCCTCTAAAGTGTGGTATGCGTAGTTTACGCGCCGCTCGATTCAATTGTCCGCTCGTCGTGACGTCAAACATCGGTAAATTGAACGCCTCTAGCGTCTCCGTCCACGTTTTTCTTTTACTTTTCCCACTCTTACCGCTTCTTTGTCCACCACCTCCATGTTTTTTGTACGGTGCGAGATGCAATCCGCGACCCTCCATCGTCCGATTGTGACGTTGCAACTCCTCTAACTGACGTCGCGCGGCTTTATTGTCGTTCACCGCTTTTGCTACACCGGCGGCTCCACCAATCAAGGAACCAAGTGTTCCCAAAATTGGTAGAATGGGCAATAAGCCTCCGCGTTTCGCCGTTGGCAATATTCTCTTCGTCCTTTTCCTCCCCCTCGTTTTCCTTCCTCTCTTCATACCCATTCCCAATTTCGTTTTTACCTTCATAGCGGCCCATACGGCGGTCGCCGCGGTTCTCTCGCCAAGGGTCGCGTCTTTCGCTGTAATACGATCGCGCGCTTTCTCAGCGAGGACTCGATCGGCGTCGTGACGATCGACGAGTTTACCGCTTCGCGAGAGTACGCAATGTCGTGCTCGCGGCACGCCGCGTCCAATGGATTCACCCCTCGCTCACCGCGCTGCAATCGTTCGGCGAGACGAGTTCCAGGCCGCAAAATTGATAACCGGGCACGTGTAGTTCGAAAGGAAGCGCGTTTATCGCACTGTTCAACAGACCGGCGCCTATTCGTTTCACTTGCTTTGACATTGAACGCAATCCTTAACGAGCGGCGGTGGACCGTCAATGTGCGTTCTCTGCCAAGGTTGGTTGTAATGCTCGAGACACGCGCGATAACTTTGCACCTCGGAGTCAGTTTTCAGAGTAACGTCCAATTTATCCCACAACTGGTCTACATAGGTGCTGAAGTAGCGCAGCAGAATGTGTTTTGACAGAAAACGTAACTGTTCGGGAGACCACTCGAGAATATCGCGCCTATCCAGCAGTGGGAGAAACATATTGACGACTGCGCGAACCGACGAATCGGTCCTGTATAAATAGAACGAATCGGCGTCAATTTGACGGTATAGATGTCGATCCGATATCGTTTTGACATCGATCGACGAATCATTTCTCACTGGGAACACGAACGATGTCGGACGTTAGTGATACACGTAGACACGGCCCCTTATTACCCAACACAATACGCTGCATTATCTGTGGAGCATCTAACTGCGGTAAGACTAACGTGTTGATAAGTCTATTGGAAAGTCCACACGGCATACGTTTCTCAAACGTGTATGTGTACTCGAAATCTCTGCATCAACCCAAGTATCGATACCTCGAACGTTTGTTCGATTCGATAGAAGAATTCGGCTATTACGCATTCTCGAATAATAGTGATGTCATACCCCCCGACGAGGCGCTTTCCGAATCGATATTTATATTCGACGACGTGGTCTGCGATAAGCAGGATACAATTAGAGAGTACTTTTCCATGGGTCGACACTCGAAAATCGATTGTTTCTATCTCTGTCAGACATATGCCAAGATACCGAAACATTTAATATGTGACAACGCAAATCTGTTGATCCCTTTGACTATATAATCATGGACTGCTAGTTGCCTCCACTTTGCCTGGTCTAACACGTAATCAACATCACGAGTGCCGCCATAGGATAAATGGCAGAAAATCGAAACACTAAGTCAGATTTAATGGTAAAACAGGACAGAAGACAGAGATAGAATATAGCTTATGTCGTGCTGTTTTATCATGTTTATCAGAGTTCAGAACCAATTATAATATAATTACAGCATACACGATAAAACAGCACGACATAAGCTATATTCTATCTCTGTCTTCTGTCCTGTTTTACCATTAAATCTGACTTAGTGTTTCGATTTTCTGCCATTTATCCTATGGTGGCGCTCGTAATGTTGATTACAGCCTGAATGCGGCAACTAGCAGTCCATGATTATATAGTCAAAGGTTGATCCTGTTTCGACAGGATGAAACCAATATGAAACACGTATACAACGATCACGTGAACACCGACATGTCGTACGAGAACTTTCGCGCGCTGTGTCGCGAAAGTTGGCGTCGAAAGTACGGCTTTGTGGTTATAGATAAGGACAGCGCACTGCGAAATGGTAGATACAGACGTGGATTTAACGACTTCGTCATACTGTAGACCAACCAGAACGATGAGTTCCGCCGAGCAGGAGAGAACTGTAAAAGAAATCGCTAAAACGCGCGCGTCGATTCGTAAGAAACATCGCGCTCTGAAAACTGGTAACCTGAAGGAGGAGATCGCTCTGGAGAGACATTTCAAGCCGATAGTCGAACCGTTGAAACGCATTGCCGAACGTGTCGAAAACTCATCCGATGGAGCCGTTCTCGCGAAGACAGCACGCAAGGAGAGCACCTACGATTATGGCGACGACGACGACGACGACGACGACGACGACGATGACGACGACGATGTTTTCAAAGCGACAACTCCAGACGAATCATTGAAGGTGAAAACAAAAAAACAACGACCTATCGAGACCGCAGCCTCACCTACAATCGGTTCCACACCAATAGAATCGCGCAAGGTGATTAGATTAGAGCCAATCAACTTGCAGCTTTTGTGGAACAGCTATATTGATTTGCTACATATTTCGCGGAATTAGAACTTGGACCAAGTACTAGCGCCATGGACACAGGCCTTAATTCGCCTGAATAGATACAG